TACCCTAACAACAAAGTTACAGGCCACTCCATCACCCAATCTTATGTAAATCTGAAGGTCATAAAGTCTCCTTTCAAATTGTCAAGAATTTAATTTACAGAGTAGTTCCTAAAATTCCATTCAACACACTTCTACAATTATTACATCTTAGGTTGCTTTATATGTGTATTTCTCTTGAGTCACTGATGAATTAAAAACCAAGTTCTGTAACTTCCAGATTTAAAATTTATTCTACAGAGTATCTTATTGGTAAAGCAAAAACCAATTAGTTTGACATTTACAGAAAAAGAAAAAGAAAAAAAAAAAACCAGAATGTTCACAGGCTTATCCTCGTCTCACAAAGCTCCAGTTGTACAGCTCCAGGCTTCCCAAAACCCTTGGACCCCTCTTCTAAGCCTGCTACTGAAGGTGGTATTGTAAACACCAGGAGCTGAGCTAAAACCAAGCTACTTTCCCTGGGGACAGAAAGCAAGGGATGTGTTTAAACTCACACACTGGCAGCAATTAATGTCAGATTTAAAATTGGGGCTTTTTAAGAGAAAGAGAGAGTGTTTGTTATATGACAGTAGAGAAGAGCTAAAAACAGGCTTTTCACCTTCAGCCTGTCATCATAAGGATGTTCACAAGTGAGGGAAACTCCTTTAATGGATGTGTAAGGGGTATTTTTCTCCTCACTGGAAAAATATGTGAAGTGAAATGATAAAGCTGTCTTGATTTCTACATGATGAGAGAATCCTGACTTGTTCTCTGAGAAAAAAAAAAATGTGCCTTTTGAAAGAGTCATTACTAGGAGACGCGGTGGGGCAGTGGTTAAGCACTCAGTTGCTAATCAAAAGGTCGGCAGTTCAAACCAGGACTTTGAACTGGTTCAATATGGTTCAAACCTCTGCTGAGAATTTGCATTTCCACCTCAAACCCCAAACCAAATCCACTACCATTGAGTCAATTCTGACTCATAGCAACTCTATAGGACAGACTAGAACTGCCCTGCAGAGTTTCCAAGACTATAAATCTTTGCGGAAGCCAACTGCCTCATCTTTCTCCCACAGGGTAGCATGGTTGGTGGCTTGGAATCGACAATCTTTAGATCAGCAGCAGAATGCTTTAACCACTGCGCCACCAGATACCCCTTATTTCTACTTCAGATTTATTGAATCCAAACCTACATTTTAACATGGTCCCCGGGTGATTCTTACAGATCCCCAGGTGAGTCTTACGTATACATATTGCACGAAATGTGGCTTCCATAGATCACAGCCTTAGAAACTCTATATGGTGGCTTTGAGGTGGAAATGACTCAACTCCACAGCAGCAATGAGTTTAAAACATTTACTCTCAGACCTCAGCACTCCTTGTAGGGCTGATGCAAATCTACATGGATTTCTATTAGAAGATAGTAGGTTTAAGGAGCCTCATCAAAAGCCTGTCTTAATATCAGTTGTACTCAGAGGACATGAGAGCAAGTAAAGGAAGCACTGAATGAAGCAAGAGAAACCACCTGCTGGACACTGGAGAATTACAGTTTTACCTTCTTTCAGTCATCCATCCAACAGTTACTGAGATCTCTCTCCTGGAGGCTCGGTGCCAACACAAGTTCCAGAACAAAAGTTCAGTTTCCAGATAGGACATTCCCTTTAATTTTGCAACTTTTTACATTTTATGTTTATTTAAAGGATGGGTTTTCTATTGAAACCCATTGTGTTCTTCCCTTTCTTGGGCTGAAAGAAATATTTTTACCTTTTTCCCTGAAGATGATTTGTCAGGCCTCATAATACCCTAAAAGCAAACAATGCAACCATTGCTGTGGAGTCGGATCTGACTCATAGCAATCCCTCCTTGGGTTTCCAAGGCGGTAATCACCATCACTATGGAAGTAGATTGCCCAACCTTCCTTCTCGGGAGTGGCTGGTGGGTGGGTTTGAACTGCCAGCCTTCTGGTTAGCAGTCAAATGCCTTAGGCACTACACCACCAGCTCTCCCTAACTAGGTGGTTTTATTAGGCAGCTATCATAATTACCTTGCAGATAGAATAGAGGCACTGAGAGAGGAATTGATTTGCATTTCGTGTTTTGTTAAGCATGCTCGCTTTTTGGTGCTCTGGAAAAAAATTATTAAATCATAATCATCATAAAATGTCAAACAGTAAAAACCATCCTACTCCCTTCCTTTCAAATTTCAGATCTTACAATTAATAACAGGGGTTCAGGGCCACAAAGAAGGTCATTCAACATAAATATCACAGACTACCAAGGAGCAGGTGCTGAGGAGAGATAAGACAAGGAACTAGGACTCTGGGTCCCATTAAGAACTATGCTCCTGAGGGAAAAAATTATGTCAGCAGCTAAGAGGGAGACTGGGTATATATGTGTATATAGAGACAATGAGACCACCTAGCCCTATTTGTAAGCCAACATACAAACACCTTTTTAAGAACCTACACAAATTTTAACTTAAAAGTATTTGGTATGGGTTTTGCCTTTTTTTTTTCTTTTTCTTTAAGAACAGGAATTTAGAAAGAAAAACTTCATTTGGACAAAAACTATGGCTTAATTGGGATTATTATGATCTTGTATTACAACTATAGTACTCTGCATGGGGCACTCCCCAAAAAGAACAGCAGTAGTTGTAAGGAAACTGATCCAAACCTGGCTTAAGAAATCTCCTTTAGATTTGGCTCTGCAAGCAGTTCATCATATACATATATGAAATGAGTGTTAAAGTCTTGCAGAGTATCTTCACAACCTACAACCTAAACAGCCACTAAACATGGAAGTCTACTTAAGGTTTGTTTGCCATTTTCTTGAATGTTGGTTTTCCCTTAAACTTTTTGGATAAGAGTTACAATCTCAAAATTTCATCATTTAAATATTGCACTAAAAAACAATTTGATCTTGGAATTCTTTTCCCCATGGAAGGAGAATAAAAGTATCTCTAGAATGCCATTCTATTTTCATTGCTCAACTATATAACTTAACAGTGACCTAATAGTGATCATTCCAATGTGAATGCTAGAAAAATCCTGACCAAGACTGTGTGAAAAAGATAATGGAAAACACAGAGACCCTTTCATAAAACCACACAGATAGGAAGCGGTTTTCAGCCCCAAGAGGCTTTGGTATCATCTATGGCTCTTTTTAAATGTAAGCTGCATCTGCCCTTGTGGATTTTGACCATCCTTTTAACACAGAAGAGGGTTTGTTTTACCTTTAAAAGCACATCCTCTTTTTATTCCCCAAGATTTCTGAGTAAGTGGCTACAAAAACAAGACTGGGGCTGTTTTCTAACTGAAAACCAAGTGTTTATCTAGGCCTTCCTTTTTTAATTTCTGAGTTTTGCTAACCTAACAACAAAACACATAACCCTCAAATTTCTCATAGTTCATAAAAAGCAAAACCATAGGTTTTTCTGATCCACATTATTTTCAGTACGAAAACAAAAGCTATGACTCCTATTGCTTTGAAATATTTACAAACTCTATTTTAAACTATGAGATTCTTCAGTGTGCTTCTAGAACAAAGTAAAAGGATCAAAAAATGTGATTCAAGTCAAGTAGGCAAAGCTCTTGCTCTTGGAGAAGGGTAGTCTACAGCCTGGATGAGATACATATGTTTTCTCAAATAAACTGAATGATTCTGTTTTTCCCCCACTCTTTTTTTTTAAATAAAATATCTAATGTATTTACACTCATAAATCACAAAGAACTGTTCTATTAAACCTCTCACACACAGAAGATATAAGCAAGGATTTTCCTACAGTAGACCCGGCTCTATCATATTCAAGATCTGATTCTACTATCAGTCAGGTTATGTTTTAAATGGCATTTTGAAACCAGATATCATTACTACTGATATCCTTTTAGAAAAGCAATTTCTTGAGCATTAGATTTTTGTAATTACACAATTCCAAACCTTTAGCTTCTTTAAATTTCTATTGTACATAAAACATGGCTTAAGAAAAAAAAAAAACTCAAAATAAAAGTCATAACACGGAATTTAATTTCAACCACCTGACATAATAAGGAAAGTGTCAGACCTTCTGAAAATATCCTACTCGGAATAATGAATGGATTCTTAATATTTTTCTCTCCACCACCCTTTTCTTTTTTTCTTTTCCAAGATTAGGACTTACTAGGGAATAGGTTTTTTTGAACATAAAGTTTCTTTCTTGGGAAATGGTCTACATTCAGAAATGTCTTAGAACAAGCATTTTTTTAAAAAACTAATAAATAATCATAAATCAAAATACATTAAAATAAAATTACAGTACATCATCGCCCTAGAAGGTCCACTGTACTAGAAGATCCTTTCAAAGGTTCATAAATAAAGTCTTGACTCGAAATTGTTTCCTGCATCGTGAAGAGTGTGCAGAAAACTAAGGAGATCGCGCAAGTTATCAGTTGGATGATGTCCAAACTACTTGATCTGGTGGGGGGGCGGGGAGACTGTTTTGTTTTCGATTCAAGTGAAGACAATAGAACTGTGCTCGTCCCACTTCCTCAAGTCCTCAAAACCTGGAAAGAAACGACACGGTATGAAGTAGGACTCAGAATCTTCCCAGACTCAGTTCTATTTTGGACCAGACCTGTAGACCAAGTGCACTCAGAAAGACAGCGGGGACGCTCCTTCGAGTTTCCCAGACGCAGTCAAGCAGGGCTCGTGACACCGAGAGAACCAGCGGCGTCGCTGAGATGAGCACCACCCAACTAACAAGGGTTAGGGTCCCCGGGGAGGCGGTCAGGGATGCCTTGCTGCCCCTCCCAGTCCCACCTTCCCCTCTCTCTGCCTGGCTTCTCCTGGCTTCAGCTTGCTTCCCTTCTTTCTACTTTCCCAAAAAGTTGAATTTTTTTTTTCCTTCCTTTTTCCACCCACAAACTAAACTCGTGGATAGGTTCCCTACCCATCCCCACACTCCGGCGACCCATTCCTCGGTATTCCGAGTCCCGACACCCGATGGCCCGCGTCGCCCCGCACTTACCTTGTCTGGCCGGAGTACTGCCCCCTTCAGGCAGAGTTGGAGGTGCTGCGAAGAAGCCGGTGGCTGTGCGACTGCAAGTGCGGCTGCTGGTGAGGGTGAGGTTGTGGGTGCGGGTGTGGGTGCGGGTGCGGGTGCGAATGCGGGTGCGGGTGCGGGTGCAGCTGCTGGGGCTGCGGCTGGGGCTGCGGCTGCGGCTGGGGCTGCGGCTGGGGCTGGGGCTGGGGCTGGGGCTGCGGCTGCCGCGCCTGCTGCTGAACCAGGTGCTGCTGCTTCTGCCGCGTGGACTTGACGGCCAGGATGGCCTGGCGGTTTTTGTACTGCACCATCTGCAGCGTGATCTCGGCGTTCCAGCCCTGGTCCTGCGGGCACCGAAAGTCGATCTCCTTGCCCTCGGCCATCACCACAGTGAAGTACATGTACTTCCCCTTGCGCTCCACGCAATCCACTGTTTTCATGTTGGAAAAGTGCAATTCCTTGAGCTTCACCGGAGGCTCGAGGCCGGCGACAGCGGGACCGCCGGGTTGTGACGGCTCGGCCGGCCCCTGCCCCTGTCCGGGCTGTTGCTGGTGTTGCAGCTGCTTGGGTGGGATGAGCAGCAGTCCCTCCTCAGTGAGGATGCAACACTTCTTCTTCCAGAGCTGCAACAACCCGTCGCTGCGCTTCTCCAGCACGCCCTCCTTCACCGCCTTGCAGCCGCTGCTTTCCAGCATCCTCCTGGCATAAGGGGGGCCGCCACTCGGCTCGGCCTCTCCACTTCCAGCCGCCCGGGCCGGGGGCAAAAGCAGCAGTCGCGCGCCGTCCTCGCCCCAGCGGCTGCCGCGGCCGCCCGCCCGGAGCGCGCAGAAGAGGCTGACTCGCAGTAGGCAGAACGGCGGCGACGGCTCCCGGTCCCGACAGAGGGGAAGCCGCGTCCTGATGCGCCACAAGGTCCCGGAGCTGCGAGCCGCCGGGCCTCTGCCGTCCTCTTGCGAGCGCTCACTGAAGGGCACTGGCCCTGCTCCCCCGCGGTGCTTTTGAATGGGCCATCTTCCCCACCCCCGAGTGACACCCAGCGGAAAAGGCGGCTCCTGGCGCCCGCAGCGCGAGGGAAAGCCCGGCTCTGAAAGGCGCTCGGCCGCCGGCACACGCCTCATTAACTTGGGGCCTTTCCAAAGCCGGCCGCGTCCACGCCCCCCGCGTCCCTCGCTCCGCCTCCCACCGCCCACTCGCTTCCGCACCCCTTCCTCGGGAAGGCTGCCGGGACCAGAGCCGCGGAAACTCCTGTTCTCCGACCCGGGCCACGGTCAGCTGCCTGGCGACGAATCCTGACGCCCAGAGGACGCTGAGGGGCCATCACCACCGTCCCGCCTCTCGCTGGCCCGCGGGGGCTCGCTGCTAACTGCCTCAGAGAGTGAGGCTGGGGCTGCGAGGGCGGGAACCGCTGCGGGACTGCGGGCACGCGAAGCGGCAGCTCGCGCCGCAACCAGCCGTTGGGATCACCGCGGGACTCCGATATCCCGCCCAGCCTATGTCCAGGCCTCAGCCAGTGGGGAGCTGGGGATGAGACTCGAAAGCCGCGGAATTCCGCGGAAGTGTGCTGCCCGCCCCGGGACGCCTACGTAAATACCAGTGCACAAAAGGCCGAGGACACCAAGTCTGTACACTGCACATTCGCTCATGGTCATTAACTAGCTCTTCTAGGAGCAAAGACAAGGCAATTGTTAAAGCAACAGCGCTCCCGCCTGTCCCGTTAGGAAAGGGTAGGGGTAAAGGAGTCTCGCCTTCCTTTTCTCCACCCAGGATCGCAAGCCCTCATTAATCTTCCAAACCCCGGACACACACCTTCTTGACTCAACTGTCCAGCCTGCAACATCTGAACATTTAACTCAATTTTCTAATTACAAACCGAGGGAACGTCCAGTGCTGAGAACCCCCGGCACTTCAACACACAGTGTAGCCCTCCAAATGCCAGGTCTCTGCCTCCGCGGCTCCAACTCTTTGCAAATGCCTAAGTGGTGAGGTCTGTTTTAGAATCTCATTTATCTATGATCTCGGGAAGTTAATACCGTACTTGGTTCTGGTTCTCTCCTCTTTCTTTTAAACAGAATTTCTATAGAAGCTGCTACCAAGGAGGTTAAGGCAGAATAATGAGCATAAATTGAGGGTGAGGAAACTTCCTCATAAACTGGGAAGACCAACTAGAGAGAAATAGAATCACAAAAAAAATTATCCAGGACTGTACACCTCAAAGTTGGGCAAGTTAAGAGGAGAGGCTGTTTGCTGCTTGTACACGAGGAGGAAGAGGGGGCAGCTCAGCTCACGTTCTAGTTTTCTATGGCTGAACAAAGAAGCAAAGAGCAAGAGATGAGCTTGGAGAGGTTTGCAAAAGTCAAATTCCAAAAGACCTGTGCGTCATACTAAGAAATAAGAACTTAATCCTGAAGGTAACAGAGAACAAAGGGTAGCTTTGAAACATGGGAGAGTCTGAATCTTACTCTAAAGAACAATGTCTTAGCAAATGGGAAATTCCCTCACAATCCTTAGTCCCACTGAATTGCATTTGGTGATATGCTGAGGATCTTCACATTGTTAATGCATAAGCAGTTTATTCAGAAGAAAATCAAGAATTATGTAAATATTTCTAGTAAAATTACATTTTAAAATTACTAATAGTTCTGTTACCAATGACAAACACTACACCTAACATCTATTAATCTGCCTTTGTAGGACAAGTGAGCATTCCAGAGAATTTCTACATGACCAGCTGTTCATCAGTTAAACAGAATGTCATCCTTGCTCATTTAGAAAGGGCACTTTAAATGTGTAATTCAGAGTCTCTGAAGGCAGGTGTAGATGAGGAAAACATTTCCTATGGAACAACACAAACTTGAGTAGATGAAAAATGAGCTGTAATCTTGAAGCTCCTTGTTTCTTAGGAGGAACTCCTTTATGTTTGGTGTTACCTAAACTGGTTTATCAGTATGCAATCAATGCATTCTATTAACCTGAATTCTTTCAAATTGTCCAAACAAGACGCACAATTTTCAAAAGCATCTATTCCATTTTAACTAGAAACTAAAATACATAATTTCCAGTTGGGTATTTCACAACAATTTAGTAATTTTGTGAGTAGCCCAATGTGCCCTCTGATCATGGTGCACTTGTTAGTGGAAATCTTAGTAGGTAGAAATCTCATAGACTAGTGATAACTAATTTGTTATTTTAACAGTAACCACCAACTCACTAAAGTGGTCACATTTGCCATTTTTTTGCAACAATGAAATAGACTGACAGGAAATCCATTGTAAGGAAATAAATATTCCTTAAAAAAAAAAAAAAGTGCAAGGCAGCATTTTGGTGTAGGTATAATGAAAACCTACAAATGTTTAGGAAACTAAAACAATCATTGTTTCGGTGAATTAGAAATGGCTAATTCAAATTGCATTTTCTGGCTGTCAGCATCAAAGTTGTACTTGCACTATCAGCAGCATCCAACACAATTTATCTTTCTTTCCTCTTTGACAAGTTCTTCATTGGCTTCTAGAACATCAGTTTTCCTTCTACCTCATTGGTCACTCTTTCAGTCTCCTCTACAAGTTCCTCCTCTTCTCCCATCCTTTTGATGTTGGAGTGCACCAGTTTTCAGTCCTTGGTCCTCTTTATATACATTCACTCCTTGGTGATCTCATGCAGTCAATACCATCACTTTCAATGCCATCTATAGGCCCAAAACTTCCAAATTCATGTTTCCAACTTGTATCTAACTGCTTATTGTCAAAGAATAAAACAAAGGCCATCAAAGTTTAATAATTAAATGGCAGGCAAGGGCACACATACTACTGATGACATTCACTGAGTAATTCACCTGAGAAAACTGTCTTGAGGCTATTTTAAATCCTAGAAAGTGAGATTCAGAGCTTCTGTTCTATGAATAAGATGGAGGTGTCTGTCCATAGGATATACACAATTCACAAGTCCCATTGCTCACCGGATGGAACTGATTGATTGATCCAATAGGCTCTGAAGTACCAGATCATTTAAAGCTCATGGTTCTTGAAGAGCTTTAGCTGGTTAGAACAGTTATATTTCAACTACAACCTTCGCAACGGAAACTGCCTTCAGCTTTGATATATCTCAACCCTGTGCTACTGTACATTGAACAGTTTCCATTTACTTCTCTACAGTACTAATTTGACGTCTAATAAAGAACTCGGGAGCCCTGGTAGCATAGTGCCTAAAGCACTTGACTGCTAATCAGAAGGCTGGCTGTTCAAACCCACCAGCCACTCCTCGGAAGGAAGATGGGACAATCTACTTCCTTAGTGATACTGCCTCAGCAACCCAAGAAGAGGTCGCTATGAGTCGGTTCAATAGACAACTCAAAACATATGAGCACCCAAACTAAATTCTTGTTCTCCAACCTTCACCCTAACCTGCTCGACCTGAAGCCTCTTCCCTTCTCTATGGATGAGAATTCCATTTGTACTGTTGCTCAGGCCACAAACCATGAAGTACGGTTCTTAAACAGGCCAATGGCAACCTTTATCCAGGGCCCTGCGCTTTAGAGGCAACTTGTACTTTATAGGAGCAAAGTTGGCATGCCCAACTGGACCCTCATAGACCTCATTTTAGAGTATAGTCCAGGTCAGGTTCCAATCCCCTGCCAAAATGGCCTCCAGACTCTTTACAGGGCCTCCTGCCCATGAACTACTCCAGGGAACATACTGTGCCACCAGTATATGCATGGGTCTGTAGGGAGAACGAACAGTCTGAATATACGTGATGGGGTATGCAGGGGGGGGGGGGCTTGCTGTACTATTCAGAGTCATGGTAGGAAGAGAAGAAAGGTGGGCCATGAGCTGAGGACCAGCTCTACCCACAAGCTGTGTTACGGCACTAGAGTCAAGAGAATCTGACATTCAAACCTGGCCTTTCAGGTACTTATGAAGGTATGTATCTCCATCAAGATAGGGGCATTCGACATATTTACTATTTAAAGATATGACATCTCCACTTATGCTTTTGCCCTAGGACTGCAAATGTTTAGAAGCAGGTCTGCCTTACAGGTCACCTTTACTCTCTCAATACCCAAATCCACACATTTAGTCAGAAATACTGCCAAAAAAAAAAAAAAAATCTCAGCTCTGTTCACGTTTCTTCACTTCCTTCATTACCACGCTGAGTAATAGGTGCCCCCCGGATTACTGCAATGGCCTCCCACCTTGTCTCCCTCGTTCTATCCTTTGTTGTTGATATTGTTTTCAACACAGCAGTGATCCCTCTTTCCAAACTTTGCTCAAACGCCACCTCTTCAATAAAACCTACCTTAACCACTCTGAAATTGCAACCACCCAATTCCCCCTTATTTTCTCCCTTAGTGTGTACCACCTGCTCCCCATTAATGTACAAAGGATGGTAACAAAACAGGCCCTTGTTTATAGTTCAGAATTTGTAGTCATTCACTTTCTTCTTATATGAAATACCTTATTCTATTCTAGAATGGTTTTAGTTGAGTTAAATATTTACTGTTCAACACAGAACTGTGAGTTTTTTGAGGAAGGTGCTTCAAGCTGTCATCCTTTTCACTGTACTCATTGATCAACTGACGCCTCCTAGTGATCAATTTCTGTAATACAGCACAGAACAAGTCTGTATAAAGGGTGCCTGGTGGTGCAGTAGGAGCTCTGGCAGCGTAGTGCCTAAGGCATTTGACTTTTAACCAGAAGGCTGGCGGCTCAAACCCACCAGCCACTCCTCAGAAGACTGGGCAATCTACTTCCGTGGAGATACCGCCTCAGAAACCCAGGAGGGGTTGCTATGAGTCAAATCCACTCTACAGCAGTGAGTTTTGTTTTGGTTTTGTGGTGCAGTGCCTAAGGTATCTGATTGCTAACCATTAAAATTTGTGGTTCAAACCCACCTACTGCTTCGTGTTAGAAAGATAAGGCAAACTGCTGTAAAGATTTACTGCCTTAGAAATCCAATGGGGGTCACTATGAGTCACAACTGACTCCACGGCAGTGAGTTTGAGTTTTGGTTGTCTACTGAGATTTTTTCTACAGGGAATAGTCTCTTCTGAGAACATGACCATGTAGATGACAGTTTGTCCATTCTTGCATGCAAGAAGCATTCTGGCTGCACTTCTTGTAAGACA